AGCAGGTTTATTGAATGCATTAATGGATTTTTGGATGGTTGATTGATGGATGGATGGATGGATGGATGGATGGATGATGGTTGGATGGATGGATGGATGGATGGTTCTAACTGAAACTCCAGATGTTTTTCTTTTTCTTCTCACGAAATTAATTTTTATTTTAGAAATAATTTAATCTATTAACTAATCTCTAAATAATATAATAAATTATTTTTAATCATAAAGGACTAAATTTGCTGATTTTCAGTGAATAAAGCCGAGTCTTTCCCCCTCAGTCGGTCGGAGCGTGGCGTTCCCGAATCCCTTAAAGAACAAGCAGAGTTCCCAGCAGGCGCTCCGGTCCGGGTTTTCCTCCCGCCGAGGCGTCCCGACACCGATACGCTCCACGGATCTTCAAAGTCAATAAAGCAGAAGTGAAGGTTGTTGTTACCTGAGGCCGGACGCTGCGCTGACCCCCGGCGGCCTGCAGGGGGTGCAGCCCCAGACACGGAGCCACCAGGTCCGGATATCTGTGGGAACGAACAGGAGGTGACGACCAGCTGGGAGGAATCCTGACAACATGAGACCTGCCTGTACTTTAAACTACAGTTTGTTTATGTTCTGGTGCTCAGAGTCGCTGGACTGGAAACCAGAACCTCCTTCGGGTCGGAAGGTTTCTGTAAGATGAATCCTGGAGCGCCGACCTTTCCTGCAGACGGAGAACTCTGGAGAATTCCTCCACTTCCTCTGTGACGGCCACCAGAGTCTTTACCCCGGCCTGAACACAAGGAGGTTCCATTGGTTTGGTGTAGTCAAAGTAATCGCAAAGGACAGTTATGATGTGGTTCTTGATGAGGAGTTTTTACCTGCCTGGTTCTGTGGATCACATCCGGAAGATCCTGCAGAAGAGAAAAGAGACGGCTGGGATCTGAAGTCTCAGACCGCGCTGACCTTTCCACATTTGGTCCAGTTACGACCAACAGAACATAAACAGAACCAGGAAGTGGGAACTGGGAACCGGATGCTGGCCCAGAAGGATGAACCAAACGCAAACAGAAGTTATTTAAAACAAAAGTTATTCCATCATAACTTCCAAATAAACCAGAAATTAACATGAGGGGGTTGGTTTAGATCAGAGCAGATTTATGTGCTGGAATGGCCTAGTCAAAGATTCTCCAGATTATTAAAGTGAAAGGATTAAAACACACTTTACATGTAGACATTCCAGATTTTTCGAAACTTAGTTTTCTAAAAAACACAAAAATTATCCCGATGGACTAGTGAACTTAATCAGCTTAGATGAGTAAATAAACAGACGGTGCTTTGACACCACCTAGTGGCCGAAGTGTGAATTACAAGCTTTTCATGGAAGCTGAAGTGAACAAAGGGCAGTGAATCCTGCTCAATGCGCAATAAAGTATATATATACTTAGGCTCACAAGTGTCTTAAATTAAACAACATTTAGTCAAAATTCTACAAATTATTACTTATTAGCTTCATGATGCTTTTTGGTGACACTAGGCAGCTAAAGAGTGGAAGTGTATTAATAGTATTACAGTTTATTTTATTTAGTATTAACAAGTGATATGTAAAATGTAGGTATAATTACAGAAATAGTAAATTCTGTGTATGTATTTTGATTATGCAACTTTAAATCAAGTAATTTATCTGGATTACAAAACACAATAGATAAATAATGATGGAAAAAATATGTACACAAGTAAACAATACATTTGATCATGAAACAGGAAACCAAAGTTTCTAGAACAGTGAAGTGATCCTTCAGTATTTAGCTGCATTTAAACTGAAAATCAATGATTGTTCAAATTTATGTTGAAATTAAATTTATAAAACTGATTTCATATTGAGGAAAGGGTTTAGGAGCTCATTGGCTGTGTAGCAAAGAAAAGTTACAGAATTTCGCTGTATTTGAAATATAATGATCTGTTTCATTCCTTTATGTCTGGAGGATCTAATTAGCATCATTCATGTCCCTATTAACACTTATGGAGGTAGCAATATTCAAATTCATAATTTCTAATTACTTTCTCATCTGATTGGCACAAAAAGACATGCCATGTATTTTTGTACACTTTGATATAAATTCAGACATTAAGGGGTCAAATTTAGCTTGAATTAGAGAGACTAAATACTTAAATGGAAAAATAAGAGAACGGAAGATTTGGACAAAGAGGGAGGAAATCATGTAAATATTTTCTATGCTCTTCTCCGTTTCCAGTACTAAAATGAAAACTTTCTCCATATTATTTTATATTTCCCAGAAAACTGACGTATGTTGGGCCTTACCTGCTGGAACTCAGGGGCTGATATGTGACAGTGACAGTCAACGAAGCCATAATCCATTACAACAGGAGAAAATGTGAGTTTTTATGAAGAAAATGCCCCCGCAAAGCAAGATATAAACGCCACACAGCTAACGGCTAACAGGAAGCACAACATACCGACTTCCGGTTGGCGGCGGAAGTCAACCTGAAAACAAACAGATCGGGCGGCAAAGATGGAGTCTTTTCCGATCCAAACATGTCGGCATGAAGACCCAGAGCAGGAATTTAGAGTTCGGCTGACATCCAAGAGGAAAACCACCGAGCTGATGAGCCGATGCTGCGAGCTTTTACGGAGAGCTCTGGACGGACAGCCGGACATTTCCGAGGACAGCCGAAGGGTTTTAGTGCAGGAGCTGCTGGCCGTGAGTCCCGCTGTTTTCTGCTGACTTTAAGCTCCGCTGCGGTTTATCCAGATTTATCCAGCAGGATTCAAACTGGTCGGTTCTGGAAAAACTCCACATCTGTTGCTGCTAATATTCGGCACCAAATCCGATCAAAAAAACGGATATTTAATAGTTAATTTGCTTCGAAATTCTAACAAATTGGTAGAACAATGTTTCCTAAACTGGGAATGTTTCCAGATTCCAAACCTGGAAGAATTCCCATGAAACACGGTTCTCCAGTTTTTAAATTAATTAAACCAATAACCACCAAATACCAGAATGAACGATTTAATTTCTTCTGAGAGTAGGAAGGGTTTAGTTTTGTTTCCGTTTGATGCCAAACTTAAATTTTGGCCTTGTTATTAACTAGAACCGAACCCTGTGTATCCAGGGTTCGGTTCCAGTTCGGTTCTACCAATCCTGCTGAGAAATTGTTGTAAAGTTTTGCCTGAAAAAAATTACCAACAAGAAATATAAAAAAAGAGCATGAAAATGTTTCCTTCAGATCAAATTGATGAGTTTTCTGCCCAGAGCTGTGATGGGAACCAGTCAGCGCAGCGTTGTCGTTTCCTCTCATGGTTTCTTTCGAAGATCCTCCTCAGCCTCTCATTCATGAATCCGGTTTTTCCCGGTTGTCAGGCTTTGTGTCTGAATATTTGTGGATCTCTGCAGAACTTTGAAGCTGCTGTGAGGCTCAACGTGTTGGTGGACGGACAGCCGTGGGACGAGGCTCCAGACCTGGAAGGTACTTCCTGTCCGTCCCGCCGGTCCGGTTCTGGTTCCTCTGCGTTTAACATGGATGTCCTCCTCAGATGAAGAGGCGTTGGATCTGGAGAGCCTCCTGGACGACAGCATCCTGGACACCGCCTGGAGGCGCCACTCCTACCCCAAACGGATCCTTCCCCATGTGGTTCACGCCCTGAAGGCCGAGCGGAAAGTCCTGGTCGGTTCACATGGACTGATCCGTTCAGCCAACAAGCCGACATGTCAGAGAACCTTAGAGGAACCTGCAGGTTGTTTTCTTTGGGCTTACAGAGCAGAACTCAGTGGTGCGTTCAGGGACCAGGCTGTGAGTTTGGAAAGTAGGTTTGAAGGAAGAAAATCCAAAACGTTAATCTGTGAGTTCCTGAATTACCACACGGTTCAAATTACAGCCTGACACATAAAACACTCTGTAAGCCTTGAAAGGAAAACATGAGAATTATGGGAAAAAACCAGGAAGTTACAGTTAGCACCAGGTTTTACAGCAGAAACTGTTTCTGGAAAGTAACCAGCAAGTATCTGTAAAATAACTATTAAGGCTGTTTTATAGGTAGCCAGAAGATAAAATCAGATTTTTATGTGTTAGTTAAATTATTTTGGTGAAATGAAGGGGCTGCTGAACTCTTTCTGTCTGTGTTTCAGGGTTTGTATGAGACGTCAGTCCAGCCTGCAGAGCTGCTCAGAGATCCAGATCTAGGTCAGTTAGACTTCCTGAATCTACTTTCTGATCTTTGGTTGTTTTAACAAAGCTTGAAAAATAAACATCTCAGACAGGTGACCTGAAAATTTGTTCTTGTTTCTTCGTTCTGAGGGGAAATGTCTCGATAATTCACTGTTCCACCAGCAGAGGGCGTTCTCTGTCAACGATGTTTCAATCTTTACAAAGTGACTCAGTTTTTTAACTTTTTGGCTAAAAAATAGAAACGAGACAAAGCAGATATCCTGTCATAATTGTAACAAACTGACCTCAAACAGACCGGCCTTGTTGCCGGGCAGATTATGTCCAGCTGACCGAGCAGCCGCTCCACCAGGAAGGAAGAACTCGGAGCAGCAGAGATGTGAAAGTTTCTCTGCTGCTGAAGTGAAATCCTGAAATGTTTCAGCACTTCTTCTTCTTCACCTTTTTCAGGATGCAGAGGAAACGGATGTAGGTGCAGGTTGCCATGGCAACGCTAAGCAACAAAAAAAAAGGTTTATTTGCAGGAGTCAAATGCATCAGATGACAGTGTGTTGGGTCAGAGGTCACACAGTTAATTAATCTTATTAATTGATAAGCGGACATTTTCTTAAAAAACAAAGTCAGACGTGACCGTCGACCACAACATGAAGGACAAAAGTTTTCAAAACACGATCCATTAAAAAAACCAAAATCATCATTAAACTTAAGGAGCTTGTTGAATATTTATGTTTTCAAACAGAACCGTATAAAGTAAAGATTCTGTTTGGGATGGCGCCACCATCCTTATTTCTGTATCAACTGGAAAAGGATTGAAAAAACAGAATTCTGAATTATTTCTTCTTTCTCAGAAGATCAAAAGAAATTGAGATTTTTTTTCTCCATCCTCTTCTGTAGCTTAAGGATGACCAGCGGTGCCCTCTGCTGGTTGGTGGCCAAACTGCAACACTAAAGTAAAAGCTAAACGGACGATGCTAGTTAACTGATTAAATTAATTTTAATCTAATAATCCACTGATCATCAGAGGATGATAAACTGTTAGCCTTGCTGTTAGCCGCTGCTCACCGGTCGCTCCGTTTCCTCCAGAGAGCATCATGAGCGACGTGTCTGCTGCGGCTCCCGGCATGGTGAGGCAGGCCATCCAGGTGATAAAGGTAAGGTCGTCTGCAGGTCGTCTGCGTGCTGCAGCCGCCTGCGCAGGCCTTACGGTGTGTCTGTGTCTGCAGTCCATCGACGCGCTGCAGCAGCAGGCGGCCGGACTCTGTGAGATCCTCAACCTGAAGCCCAGCGCCGCATCGCTGCAGATCCACAGGGAGGTGCTGGGCTCCGCTGGCATGCCGCCTGCAGGGGGCGCCACCAGGGGCCGGCAGCCCGTCCACAGAGCCGTGGAGGAGGAGGCGGCGGCGCAGGGCTACGAGGCCGACAGCAAGGGGGCGGAGCGCAGCGAGGAGGAGGAAGAGTAACGCTTCCTGGAAACCACGGAGATCAGGAACTGTTCAGATCAGGAACTGTTCAGATCAGGAACTGTTCAGATCAGGAACTGTTCAGAGATCAGGAACTGTTCAGATCAGGAACTGTTCAGATCAGGAACTGTTCAGAGATCAGGAACTGTTCAGATCAGGAACTGTTCACATCAGGAACTGTTCACATCAGGAATCCCAGTTTTGTTTGTTTTTTACGTTCTTCATGTTTGTTTATAAAAGTCAAAAATAAAACTATTTTCTGCGTCATGGTGAAGCAGAGCGGTTCGTTCAGTGGTTAGGATAACATTAGCATTCGTTTTGCGCTACATTAAAAAAATTATATTTTTTTAGATATTTTATTTTTTCTGAATTAAAAATGATGCAGATTTTTTATTTATAATTAGGGCGACATTTTTATAGAAATAAATCTTCATTCAACAGAAACTCTGACAGCTGCAGCCGTTGTTAGTTTCCAAAGACTTTTACTGGAAAAAGGAAACTTTTTCCAAGACAAAAGAAAATCTGGTTTTGTTGCTCAGAAATGAGTTTTATTTTTTTCATATTTATAAAAATTATTTCAATAACCAAAAACTGCATCTATGATTCCTGATTAAATCTGATTATTAACATTTCAATGGTTCCGAAATATGTGACCAAAAGTTTGTGCACCCCTGATAGAAGGTCCAGGAAACTTTGCAGGTTTTTCAGTTTCTAATAATTAAACTTTTTAAACTTTTTAAACACTGATGTGGCAGAAAAAACATTTTCCTTGTTTTTCTTCACCTTTAAATGAGCTGAACTTCACAGGATAATCTAAAATATCGGCCCGGTTCTGGAGCCGGATCGGATCTGAATAGACTTGCTGCAGTCTGGACCGTCCCATCTATGGGGTCAGAGGTCACCACAGTCACCTGACTTCTGGAAACCAGAGTGAAGCTTGGGAAGTGAAAGGTGATGTGAAACCGCTGCAGGTCCAGACCGCGCCGCGCCTCCTTCTGCTCCGGATCGTCGTTCTGAGCGCTCAACATGTCGGATCCGTCCAGCCAGCAGCAGCCGGGCCGGGCCGCTCACCTGGGCGGCGGATGGACGGTAAGGTCGCCGTAGAAACGCACCGGCCCGGTTCTGGGGCCGGAGGAGCTGACGGTCTCTGATTGGCTCAGGGTCTGAAGGATGAAGGCCGGAGGATGAAGAGGAGGGAGAAGAACCGAGTGGCTGCACAGAAGAGCCGCAAGAGACAAACGCAGAGGGCCGACCAGCTGCACCAGGTCAGACTTTGACCTTTCACCTCTGACCTCTGTGACCTGCAGGCCTCTGGCGGCTTTAGGACTCTTCCTGTCAGGACAGGAAGCAGATTCATGTGGCTGAGAAAAATTTATGCAACCGCTTCTCAACGCCAAACAGAAAATATTGAGAAAAAAAAAACTCTCTATTATACTCAGACGTTCAGCGGTCTAGTCAAAGTCAGATCTATCTCCTCATGTTTGCAGCCGTTCAGATGTTGTTTCTCACAGCAGAACTAAAACCTCAAAGTTGAACATGTTCGATGTTTTTTACTGTAAAACATTAAATGTATCTGGTTTCAGGCCTGTGAGCTGCTGGAGCAAAGAAACAGGAAGCTGAAGAGAGAGGTACTTCCTGTCTGCCAACAAACTACTTCCTGTCTTCACTGAAATGTTTCATTTCTGCTTTAATTACAAACAATTAAACTAATCAGTTATTCTGGCTGACAGGAAACATTTCTGTATAGCTTTAAAATTAACCAAAAGAATCAAATATTTTACATTTACAGTGTGAAATATTCATATTTAGTATCAAATGATTTTAATATTTTATTTTTAAATGTTTTCATGTATCAGTATTATTTATTTATTATCTGTTTCTTTATTACAATCTATTTATTGCATTATTTTCTAAATTATTTTTTATTCAAATATTACTATTACATATTTTTATTTATATTATTTATATATTTATTATTTTTAAATTATTTTACTCATTTACTATTGTTATACATTTATTTCTACCATTATTTTCTGTTTAACTTATTTCTGTTTATTTTATTATTGATTTATATTGTTCTTTATTTTATAATCTATTATTACTTATGTTTCACTATTTTGTCATTATGTTATGATGACGTATTTATATCTGCTCTTCGTCTCCAGGTGGATTCTCTCTCTGAGGAGCAGAACTTCCTCTCTGAGGCTCTCAGGGCTCATGAACCTTTCTGTCCCATCATGCATTGCTCCTTCGCCTCCTCCAGCCTGCAGCCTGACACCGCGGCTCGCTCAGTCTGAGGTCAGTGACCTTTCACATCTGGATCCAGCTGCCAGACAATGAACTGACCTGCCGCCAGAGGGCGCCGTTTATCCTCCAGCTGCTTGCAGGCGGCGGGACTCTGCTGAGTCATCACACATCCAGGATTCTTTATTAATGTCAGAATGTATAAAAAATAAATTAATTGATCAATAAAAAGTTATTGAATAAATAAATTCCGGACATTTTTCTTCTGTTGAATCTAGGTTCAATTTTTTTAGTTAAATATATTCATTTAAATATAAATATATAATTTTTAAAATAACATCTCACCATGTTCAGTTTTTTTATTCAAATATTACTATTTGAATAAAATATATATTAATTATTAATAAATATTCCAGTAAATGGAAATTCTTGTTGATTTTTAATGAATAAATTAAAAAATGAGATAAATGTGTTTTGTTGGTGAATCAGGATTTCTGTCTGAAAATGTTCAGTTTATTTCTATAATCAATATTTATGTTTGCAAAATGTAATCATTAAAAATAAGAGATTTTTAAAACTGAATATAACATTTTATTAATATTTTTTCAATCTTTATTTTATATTTTAATATAAAGCACCTGTAATAATAATTCACTGCTGCTTCAGCCTCAGAGGAGCAGTGATTATTTAAACATGATTATTTCTATTCGTGTTTATTTTATGAATAATTACAGTCTGGTGTCTGTTGGGGTTTACTTCATTTTCCATTAACTCTGTGAGGGTGTACTTACTTTGTCTTTTTGTGACATCACTGACCAGAAGTTGGGAAGTTTCAGCAGAAACAGCAGTGAGTTTTTCTGCGAATGTGGAAACTGCAGAAACCCTGATGGGTCTCAGCGGTTCCGCTGTACGGCAAGCCGTCTTACCATAAAATCAGCTTCATCTGACCTTCTAGTCCACGTATCTAAAAATTAGTTTCTGGACTATCCTGACTGACAACTAATTTTTTTCTATATTTACATTCTGACTAAAAGGAAGAAAAATTCAAGATATGTTCAATTTTTTATCAAAATTATATTTTTAGATTTCTGAATTAGGAAATTACATGCAAGCCAGATTTAATTCTAGATTTATGGGAGTCTGGTTAGTCAATAACTCAGTATTTAGTTAGTCGGCTAAATGTTTAAAACCAAACTGAGTATTTAGCTAACTAGCTAAATATTCAGTTTAAATCTAAATATTTAGTTTTAAGATATTCAGTTAGCAAGCTAAATGTTTAGCTCTGAGCTGAATATTTACTTTCAAACTAAATATTTGGCTTTAGTTAACCTGGTGAACATGTGACCTAAGTGATGAAACCCATGTTTCTATTATTAGAGGCTAAATAACCAGGATTCTGGCTGTTGGTTTGAAATGTGCGACTCTTCAGAATAAAAGCGGCTTCTAGCTGCAGAAGGAAGTTAGCATCGGTTAGATGGATGTTTACTCTGGGATCTGGTCTGATGAAGAAACCTGATGTTGCAACTGAAACAGTTTCCTCACATCTGGCCTCTTTGTGGTAAACTGCGTTTGAATTAAAACAGTAGAAGAAGAAACTTTTCCCAGCAGGGCGCTGCGTCACCTGCTGCCGTTCCAGCTCTTCTGCAGAACTGAGGAGGGATTTCTCCTGAAGAGCGCCGGCGCTGCCAGCACTGGGCCTCTGGGAGGTCAGAGGTCACACACACAGGCTGCTTTCCATCATAAATAAAACCATCACAACCATCTGAGCCTCACAAACTGCTCCCTTTAGCCTGGATTTATGGAGCAAGCACGAGGCGACAGCGGTAAACATCCAAATGCTCAAAACTGAATATTAAGTTGTTAGCTAAATATTTGGTTTAGAGCTAAACATTTAGCTAGCGGGATTCAAACTGAATATTTGCTAAATGCTCATGTATGTGGTGACAATGGAGAGAAAAATCTCCCATTTAACAGCAAGAAACCTCCAGCAGAACCAGAACCAGAGTCTGTCTGAAGAGCCGAGGAAATGATCCAGGAACTTTCTAAAGTTTATTTCAGATGCGATGAAGTGGAGAGAAAAAGGGAAAAATAAAAGCAGAGGTCAACATCATTTTGTTTTTCCTGTCTGTTAAATTGACATAAAGATGAAGTGTGCATCATGTGTTTGGGGCCCCAAATGAAACTCTGCCCAGGGCCTCAAAAAACCTGTGTCTGCCTTTGGCTGCTTAGGTTCTGGATTCAGGCTGGAAAATTCTGGAATTAGTTTTTGATTTTCCTTTCCTTGTTTCCTTCCCTCCTCTCTCCTTCCAGGGGAACTCCAGGACATATTTAATCTCCTTAACGTTTTCCAGTGAATTTTCCTCCTCAGACCAAAGGTTCAGCTGAACCTTAGTCAAACCTGAGCTGAAACATCTACGCTTCCAGAAACCGCAGCTTTGACCCCAAACTGCATGAGGCGTCATGCAGGCTGTGTTGAAACTTCCTACTTCTACTTTCACTTTAAGCGAGAATCCGCTTCTGTGAAGAGCTTTAAAGTGGAAAGAGAAGCAAATTCAAGCAACCCAGTTACACATGTAAAGGCTGCTGCAGCGTCACAAATTACCAGCAATGATTTGGGTTATTTACCGTCAAATGACAGAAAATGAGTCATTTTTCACCATTTTGATGGTTGAAAAGTTATGATGTCATTCAGTCATTTATAAATATATTTTTAAGCAAGAGCAATAAACAGTTATGTATCGACCTTGCTAGCTAAATATTGAGCAAGCTAATGAAATATTTAGCTTGCTAACTTAATATTTAGTTTAAATTGTTACATTTATAAATGAATTAATAACATGACGAAAATATGCTTTAGAAAAATAAATCTCCTTTTTCTCGTTTTATAACAAGCTAAATAACTCAAATTATTGTTAATTTTTGAAGGTGTCATCAACAGCAGCCATGTTTGCTGCGTGTAAACAATATTCCCAGTGAACGTTTAAAACTCGGTTTAAAACTCGGTTTAAAACTCGGTTTAAAACTCGGTGAACGTTTAAAACTCGGTTTAAAACTTGGTTTAAAACTCGGTGAACTTTATTTCACCGAGTCGCTCCGCTAACGGCCCTAAACTTTCCGCCGAGGCGTTTCGGTGGCAGGAACAATGGCTGCTGCTCCTTCACTCACCCTGAAAACGTCTGGAGTTGATCTTCTCTCCTGATATTATCGGTTTTCATCCTGCAGGATCAGCTGTGGAAATATGAATATTCTCCAGTTTTCAAAGCTCTGCTGTTCGGCAGCGATGTGAGCAGGAGGCGGTTCCCAAAAATCAGACTCACGTAAAATTAAAAAGTATTTGGTAAAAACTTACCATTTAATATTTAAAGATTACGTCATCAGATGGGCCAACATATAAAGTTAAATGGGAATTTTGGTATTTTAAGGACCAAAATGACAAAAATTCATATAAGTAACACAAAAAAATAACAAAACGCAAAGAACATTTTTCCAAATCAGTTTCTTTCAAGAAAAATGTGTGAAACTTTAAGCTGCAGGTTTGAGTCTGTCTGGTGAGTTTTTGGTCTGTTTTTCATTCAGTGGGAAGAAAATGCAGACATTTTACTCCAGTAAGAGCAAAAATACTGAATGATGAAATTACACGCAGGAAAACCTGCTCTGCAGGAATCTGTCGCTTTTGGCTCCTGTTGTGATGTCACTTCCTGTGAGAGACATCAGCGGGTCTCCGGGTGTCTGTCTGCCTGTATCCCGGTTCGGTTCGGTTCGGTTCTGGGGCTCTGCGGGTCGCAGACGGTCCGGACCTGTCAGTAAAAGCTGCAGGCAGGTCCGGACTCGATCGCTGCTCACTTCCTCATGTTTGGGTTGGGAAATGTTTCTGTCATGCCTGGCAGCTAATGAGTTTTTATCTTCTTAGGAAAACTTTCATCATGTCTTAACATCCGGTTCGTGTTTATCAGAATCCAAACAGAACCGAGAACAAAACTGTTTCTGTAAAGTTTCAGCGTTTTCCCTCCACACCTCCAAGTTTCAATAAAATAACCTCAAAAATAGAAAAATCTGAAACACAATCTTTCCATTCACATAACTTCATCTTTACAAAACAAAATAAATGTAAAATCTGATGTCAAATAGATTCAGTTAAATTAAAGGTTTGCTTCTTATTTCTGATCCTTTTCAAGCTTTTCAAGATTATTGAGGCATAAATTTGTCTTCTGGATTCTCTGTTTATATTTTATACAGGGAAATAAATAAATATGGTAATCCAGTCAAAGTGCAGAGAAATTAGTTTTCTTTATTTTACTTTGAAATGCATCTTTAGATCTTGTAACTGAAAATCAGGCCATAAATCATTTATTTAAATAAAGCCTTTTATAAAAATGAATTAGCTATTAGATATTAATCTGAATGTTTCTCATTAGAAAACTTTCACCATTTATAGTAGAATTAATGCTTAAATTTCCATTTTATTGTGTTTCTTTTTAAATCAGTTAGAAACAGACTTTAATGTGATAAATGAGGATGTTGAAGTAATGAGTTTGTTGCTAAATGTATTTTCTATTTTCAGGTTTTAGTTTCAGTTTTCCTCTGATATTCAGAGCAAACTGAGTTAAAAATGACAATGACAAGTTTAATAATCCATGTTTTAATGTAAAAAAGTATCAAAAACAGAATTTAACAAAGGGAAGGAGCAGCAGTGCAGTCGTACCTGAAACTTTACATTTTATTCAGACTGAAACTGAGGAATGATCCCAAAAACAGGAAACGGAACCCGTCCCCATGTTGATGACTCCAGTTTCCCTTCAGTTCATTAGTAAAGAAATTAGTTCAAGTTCAAATCTGGTTTGTCAGAACAATAAAACTTCCCTGTAAGGATCAAACCTGATGAAAAGGTCAAAGTGCAGAAAATGAAAGTTAGGCAGCAGATAGTTACACAGTGAGGTTGAAAACCTGGGTGGAATAAATAAATATATTCAAAAAATAAACATTTTGCTCCGTCAGGAGAGGAGGCGTCTGTTGTTTACATGCAGCTACAAACAAGAGAACAAAAAATTAACACTTGAATTGGAGCAGCTTCATCTTTATGGAAAAATAACTTTAGAGGTTTTTGTTGCAGAAAACGTAGCAGATTAAATTTAGGTTAGTTTAAGGGAACAGCAGAGAGTCGTCTGCATAGAGAGCGATCCGTTCAGAAATATTCCTCTGCATGCAGACAGATTTTACTGGACACAACTCTTCC